GGGGCTATAAAACGGAGTGACCGGCTGTAAAAAGTGGGTCCCACCCAGGGGACGGGCAGTCTTATCTTGTCTCGCCTCTCTCTCTCTCTCTCTCTCTCTCTCTCTCTCTCTCTCTCGCTCTCTCTCCCTTTTTACGCTCATCTTGACCCAGACACCCCACTGGTCAGGGGATAAGGCTTGAAAAAACTCGGGTACGATTACATCGACAGCTTAGGCGGGTTGATAAAAAGGACCATAGCTACGTTACGCTACCCTTGACGGCACCACCGTACCCTAAAAACTACTATTAATGCGTGTTGCAAACGATATTCTGTTAACGCTACCTGGGATCTCGAATGATAGGCATGTTTCGAAGGAACCTGATGAGATTAGGTAGACATTAGAGCAACTTTGCGGGGTTAGGCTTAGGCTTAGGTTTAGGCTTAGGCTTAGGCTTAGGCTTAAGCTTAGGCTTAGGCTTGGGCTTAGGCTTAGGCTTAGGCTTAGGCTTAGGCTTGGGCTTAGGCTTAGGCTTGGGCTTAGGATTAGGCTTAGGCTTAGGCTTAGGCTTAGGCTTAGGCTTAGGCTTGGGCTTCGGCTTGGGCTTACTGTAACCGTTTTTTGTTGACCGTGGGATTTCGATACGTGAGATAGCACATTTTGTGCAGAATTTTTCGCTGATTCCGAATCCGTTTTCAAAAGTTGCAGAACCCCTCTAGATAAAAAGTTACAGCCGGTTTTCTACCCCAAATGACCGAAAATTACAAACTTTAAATCCTAATAAAAAACTCGTGGAACATTTTGTGGGATAAAATACAGCACTCTTAGGGGTAAAAAAACGTGCTCTTTCGAATGGGCTACCTCACGAACCCGTAGCTCAAAATTCATGAAAAAAAGTTTTTCGGTGGACCAATGCCCTGGATGGCCAATTTTTGAAATTTTGTGAATTTTGAGCTACGGGTTCGTGAGGTAGCCCATTCGAAAGAGCACGTTTTTTTACCCCTATGAGTGCTGTATTTTATCCCACAAAATGTTCCACGAGTTTTTTATAAGGATTTAAAGTTTGTAATTTTCGGTCATTTGGGGTAGAAAACCGGCTGTAACTTTTTATCTAGAGGGGTTCTGCAACTTTTGAAAACGGATTCGGAATCAGCGAAAAATTCTGCACAAAATGTGCTATCTCACGTATCGAAATCCCACGGTCAACAAAAAACGGTTACAGTTAGGCTTAGGCTTAGGCTTAGGCTTAGGCTTAGGCTTGGGCTTAGGCTTAGGCTTGGGCTTAGGCTTAGGCTTAGGCTTATCTATCCACGCCTGTTTTGGGTCTCGCTTTTTAATATGAATTCCTAAAAGCCCTCTGAAACCGCGATATTGACCCCCGCTCCATTCTAGCCTGCAAAAAGCCTTTGTTTGGCCTCCCGCTTCTGGCTTCCGGATGGGAGAAGCATCCGATTCCGAAACAATACGCTTCATAAAGCTTCACATTCTCTTCCTCTCTCCCTCTTTTCACTAATTTCCTTAATGCTCTCTGCCAGCTTGCCCAAATTCCGAGATCCCCACGACGTTCAACTTTTACCAGTAAACAGACTCTCCGAGATCCGGTGAAGCCGGTAAATACCCACAAGGATTTAGGTCAACTTTCCCGGGGTAGCGCTGCGTTTTTTGGGCAAAAAGCCAAGCGAACGGCGTGAGAGAAAGAGAGGGAGCGAGAGATAAAGAAATAGAGAGAGAGATGGTGAGAGAGATAAACAGCCAAAAGCGGCTCAAAAACGATGACAGCAAGACCGGCGGGGCGCACGATTTTTGTCCGGGAAATCGGAGAAGCCGTCACAGAAATGGCATGTACGGCCCTGAGGATGTTAGGGGAACGTGATGATGTCAGGATCTTTGAAATATATGATTTTGCAACGTGCTGGACTTGAATTTGGCTAAAAGTACGGTAAAAAAATAGCTAGGTCGAAATCTACCATAATCATAATTTTTGGAGTGGTTTTTTGAGTCAAATTTGAATCTAAACATCATCAGACATCTTGGTCCTTCTTTCGTTTTGTTTTTAAATCGAAACTCTAAAATTAGAAGGCACTTTCCTGAAATCGGAGCCCTATTGGGGATGGATGGGGCAGCTCTCTCGGACGTGCTTTTAGGGCACTGACCAAAATAGCCAGCCCAGAGGAAGGAACATGGCGGAACTCTGAACATGGACGGATTTTTGGGATATTTTGCCGTATTTTATCCAGAATCTAGTAAGTTGACTTGAAAGCCTTTTTGTGTTAGTAAATTTCATGCTAAGAATCTCAAAATCGCTTTAAACAGCCTAAAAATTCCAAAATACCCTAATTTTTTGGCTGTGAAAAATCATAGAAGAGAATGGGTTATTAAATTTTCTCGCAATTTTATTGCCGAATTTCAAGCCTTCATCCCGGTTTCTTGAATTTTTGAAAGAGATATTTCTTAGAGAGTCTGATTCTTTAGATTTCTCTATCAAAAAGTTGAATTCTTAGCCTAGGCTGCCGCTTACGCTCCAGAACTTTGAGCTCCAGTCCCAAGCTATTCAAACGTCTAGACGAATTTTAGAGGATGCTTCGAGAATATCTCAAGAGTTTTCCAGAAGCATGTCGATGATGGCTGTTTCCACACCCCAAAGTGTTCTCCGACATCCACATTTTTGCGCATATTTGATAGGAACGCGATGTCGACATCTTCTCTCTATCTCTCTCTCTCTCTCTAGCTCTCTCTCTCTATCTCGCTCTCTCTTTCTCTCGCTCTCTCTCTCTCCCCCACCATCTTTTTGGTTTATTTATTGGGTTTCAGCGAGTAGGCCCTCTCTCTTTTGGATTCTCGGATTAGATTCCCCTCAACGCTCTCTAGAACCACCCACATTTCCGCAGCACACCCATAGACATGGGCACACACACAACTTTTATACTTCCGGGATGGCCCGGTCTCGCGTAGCCCCGGGTTACCCCTGCGCTACTTTTTGATGTCTCCCACCCGGGCTTCGCAGCCAATTTTTTGCGGCTTTCCAGGGGTGTGGGTGGTCCAAATTGATGCGAGGTTTGGGCATCCGATTAAATTGAATTGCGCTACCCTGTAATGCTTTTTGGGTTACGGTAGCTTTTCTATTACCTGGGAACTTTTGAGTTTACGAAAAAATTAGATTGTTGTGCTAGAAAAGCTGATTTTACGTTTCCCATGTTTAAATTGGGAGATCAATCATTTTGCCAAATTATTACATCGTAATAATGGTATAATTTCACACTTTTTGTAGTTTTTGAAACCATTTTGCCTCCAAAAATGCTAAAATATGCTAGTTATACGGCCTTTCGGGCCTCAAAACGTAAATTATCTCTTCTCAAAAATAGTGTTGTTTGTCTTGATTGAAATTAAGTGCTTTTAAAAGTTCTGCTTTTGTTTAATGTCTATTTAAATTTTATTCATTTGGAGGAATCACATTTTCAGGCTAAATTTAAAGCGTAATATTTTAAAATTCGGTTTGGCTTCGGGTTTTGGATACGATTAGGGTTTTTTACTTGTATTCTTGACTCAGCCTCCTATTACGTTGTTATGCTGCTTTCATTGCTTGTCATAACAACAAATTTCCAATTTCTCAAAGCACCCCCATCCCCCCTGGGACCCAATCGATTACGCGAGGCAATTCCGCGCATGACCGGCGCGTCACAGAGTGGCCCAAAAATGCTTGATTTTTGAGGCCAGATATTCGTTTTTTTTGGCTTTATGTCACCTTATGAATTTGAATAAGAATTTACGACACTTGCGAGGCCACGACTGCCTAGAATTTTTGCCTAAAAAGCCCAAATCTGAATGCCTAATCCGCTTATCTCAATTTTTGACACCTGCCCGATTTTCCCTACTTTTTTCTGGATTTGAAAGTGGCCAGGCTGTCTGGAGGGCAGCGGGGAATTTCCTCCATTTATCTCGAAGGTCCGAGAATACGAAAAAATCACCCGAGTGCCCCCTTCCTTCGTAACCCCTGATTTCCTGAGCACAGCACGAAAAGCCCAGGGTGAATTTCCTGGACAAAAAGCCTGATTGCCTGACAAAATTTTCTGGACACTGGGGGGATGATTTGGGTAATTTGAGGTTTGATAAGATGGTCCAAAAACTATAAAATATACATAAATGGATGCTAATATTGACTTAACATTTATAGAATTAATTTGCATCTTCAAATTCGATCTAAAGTTTTTTTGAGGCAGGGAAAACTTGGTTTTTGAAAATGCTTAAATTGAATTTCCATGAATTTTGTCCCTTTTGAAGTTTTAAAACGGATGTTTAGCCAAAATTAAAAATATTTTTCAAAAATTCTTTTATTTTTTATTAGCAACATTCCAGGATTTTAAAAGACCCCCTAGACTAGATTTCTAAAAAATTTTGACGAATTTTGTCACTATTAAAGTTTCAAAATGGGCGTGATATACGATTTCAAAATCCAACAATTTTATTGACTCAAAAATTCCCTTAAAAATCAAATATATCTGCTATTATTAGCTTTCAACCCCATCCGTCCAGTCCGGAAATGTGCATTGTCCGGAAAGTGCATCCAAAAGCAACCCTTTCGGCCGAAATTTCGACACTCAAACATACACACGCTCTCTAACAAACACGCACAAACACAAAAAGCCCAAAAAGACGGCAGAGAAACCGAAAAGAACCAGGGCCCACGGCTGGCGTCCAGAGTACGACCCCGGAAAAAGGGAGGGCCGACGACAAAAACATCCTATTTTCTCTATTCAACCCCGTGGTTTCTCTCTATTTTCTATAGGAGAAAGAGAGTATTTCTCTGGCCTATCTATTTTTCTTTAATTCACCACTCTCTAGCTACTCTCCCAGGCGTCGCCTGGCTGTTGCGAGGAGATAAGAAATTTGGCCCCGCTGACTTGACAAAACAAAGAAGGGCAATTATTTGGATTTTCTAAATATTCTACGTTTTCAAAGCAATTGAAAAACTACCCAAACTACTTTCCAAAATATTTCTAAGCTACAAACTACGCTAATATACCATGGAAGACCTCGGCGAGCCCGAATCGGCCAGTCAGAGTTGCCCCAGAATGAGGGCGCACACGACAAGGTAATTAGCATACGATTATTGCTATTAAATATAGTAGAATCAGCTTCTATTTCATATACGTAAAATCATATAGCTAATGCTAAGCTTATAAGAAATGATTCATTTAAATTACTTTGAACACTAATCTTGGTACAGTTTTTAATGGAAAATATGGGGAAATTGCGAGTTTTAGCTATAAAGAAACCTACTTATTCTTAAAAAAGCTTTTTTTGTCATATTATTTCAGTTTGGTGTCATATTATCATGTTAATAAAGTCATACCTTCTTAGAACCATTATTTGTATCGTAGGTTTTTGCTGTGAAATTAGGAGGAATTAATTAGTATAAATTGGTTGAAACTTTAAGGACAAATTTCCGATCTAAAAGCAAAATCTTTATGGAGCACGCTTTTTTTGACTAAAGACACCCTTTATTACGCTTCCTTTAACAAGCTAATTTGCATAGCTGTGTCTTTTTTTTGTAACCGCCCAATTTATTCGTAGCTCATCAAAAAAATCTGTCTAGACATTTCGGTCTCAATTTCAAAATCCTCGGTTTTCAAAAAAAAGTTCTTAAGTGCCATTTTCGTTTCCGGCCACTCTTTCCGGTCCTTCCGGTCCATCATATCGATGGCAGGATGAACCCAAACAAAAATTGTGTATAACATCGCCCCTGCTCAACCGTCTCCCGACCACCCGGGCAACACTTTTTGCGCTACCCGTCGGAAATATGTCTTTGTCTATCTTTGTCGTTCCTTCTCATTCTCTATCGCTCTATCTCTCTCTCCCTCTCTCTCCCTCTCTCACCCTCTCATCTCTATCGTCAATTCGTCAACGGGGATCGCTTCGTAGGCCTGCCCCCCCCCGATCCGGATCGGGCAATTCCGACTTCAATCACTCATTTGATTGCCGAATTGAGCTCTGATTTGTTCTGAGGTGTAGGGCAGAGGTCTTGGACTTTTTAAAGGAACGTCGAAGGCAACGTTTGCTATAGCTAACCTCTCTTTTGGAAGTGATTTTCAGGCAAAAACGTACGATGGCAAAAATCCCTAGGCCTTCCTCCGGAATTCCCAATTTCTCAAATTTTCAACGTCCTCGAAGGTTCTGAGCATGTATATTCTAATTTTGAAGCTTTTTCTTGAAAAATCACCTAAATCTGGAAAATATAAGGTTTTTCCTTGAAGCTTCTCTCTAGCTCCTCAAGCAATGCCACCCACACGGCCTCCCAAAAAGCCTTTCACTTTCCACTATAG